TCAGAATTTATATTTCTGGAGATAACTAACCATCCACTGGATGTACATGAATTTTAATGTGTTTGCTGCCTATCAAGGACTGTCCTGAGTGCTAGGCAGGTACAATGTTACTGAAACAGACAACTTCATTTTCAATGCCATAGTATCTGTAAAAATTAGTTTCTTGGAAATAAAGTTGAATCTAGAAATAAAAGTCATTTAGGTTAATATGTGTAAGATAGTCCAGTCTAACAAATCTTCAGATTAAAAGTATAAAATAGAAAATGAAACATAAAAAACATTTGATTATAAACATACTTATAACATTTCTGAACCTCAAAAATAAAGAGAAAAATCTTAAACTTTCAGAGAGAGAGAGAGAGAGAGAGAGAGAGAGAGAGAGAGAGAGAGAGAGAATGTGTATAAAGAAACCCTACATGTTAAATATGAAAGAATGACAAGCAATTGACAGTGGGCAAAACTAGAAGCAGGAAGAGTAATACTTTCAAAGTTTTGAGGGAAAATTATTTTAAATCAATAGTTTTACAGTTTGGGCAATTATCAACTAATTTTAGATGTATAATATATTTTCAGAACTCTAAGTATTTAGGGAGTTTGCCACATACCCTATCATCACATTCCCAGAGAGGTGATATGGGTAATTGGCAGTTAAATATATTCCAGGAGAGAAAAGTAAGGTAAGAAATCTGGTGAGACATTAATACAAACACACTTGACACTGGTATTTCAGAAAGTTCTTCTTCAGGCAAAGATGCTAATGACATAACATTTCATCTCCTTCCTTGTGAGTTTATGGTCCTTGATTCCAGATTAGTGTATTGATGGACTCGGGGGTATTGTAGATGCTATTCTGAAGGAGGCATGGGGCCACATTTGTGCATTTTGGAAGTCTGTGACTCTTTCTGTGTCAGGCAAGTTTATCAAATTTGGGGATTCAGAAAACCCTCTTTTCCCCCATATACTTAAGTCATGTTCTAACAGCTCGGTTAGCAATAAAGCTGGCATTGTGGTCTCTAATTGTCTGACTCTTTTGTTTAGCATCAAATAGATTCTAAACTTTAGTCAAAGAGCACAGCTTCCATTTTCTGAGTCCTAAAATACCACATCTATATTCTAAGTGAAATTCAGGGGTTCGTGCAGTCAAAGAACATTCAGAAACTGAGGTTTTTGATGTGCCAGACCATGTAAGGTTTTGGCCCTACAGTAGGGCCTATCATGTCATGCAGTTATTTTTTGTAGCTGTGGTTGACCAGCTTGAACAAGTAAGTTTAGGTGTTAGCCTAAAACATTGCTGGAGAGCTAAAAAAGGGAAACACATTCTTGAAGATCGGGTGATAGGTATACAAGGAAAGAGGACAAGTTCTTCGGTCCAGTTGTTTGTAATGTGAGCCTCAGAAATGGAGATGTTTAGTTTGTGTTAAATCAGGAAAGTGCTTGTAGTCCAATTAAATCAAACAGAAGTTGATGGACAAGATCTCAGAGAGTAGTGACCCTCCAGAGGGACTTGACATCAAGAAAATTGTTAGAAATCATATTTTTAATACCGAGATCTATAATAAGAATAATAAGTGACTAAATTCTTAAAGATTAGGAGCTATACCATGTGGGCTACAGAAAAATAAGACAAATTTTAAGGGTGAAAGCCAGAAAAATTAATGTAAAGTACTCAAAGCTGTACTGTCAGTTTGACACAATTATTATTGGTATTAGCAGCACTCTACACAAACCTGCTGGAAAAAATTAAGGAATTTAAGTTTTAAAGAAAAGTATAGCAGAAATAAGGCATAGTAAATGTGAACTTTAAGAAGAATAATAGATTGACTTAGGCAAGGTTAGATGTTCTGATGAAAGAATAGCACCTGTGTGATCATACCCAGTTCAGAAAGGTGAAGGTTGATAAGATGTTTTTGAATAGTGGGTGCTTTAGCAGATCCAGTATTGTTGATTTTCTATTTCTCATCATAGGACAATAGCTAGAAACATAAGAAAAACAAATGCCTGTACCAGAAAGAAAAGTTAAGCTATAATAAAGTAGGAACATAGATCTAGTAAGCTGTTCTAAGTCTCGTGTGCTCAGTTTGCTGGATGGTAAATGTACCTCAAATTAGACTTTTCTTTTTGGACTGGCAACATTACAAATTTCTGAACTTTGGAAAAATTCAGAATGTCTTGAATATTGCTCTATGAACGTATGGTTTTTAAAAATGTGCCATAACTAACATCTTTAGAGAAAGTTATTCCCAAATCAAGAATCACAGATTGTCCATTTTAAATACCTGATGTCTTAGGAAAGTTAAAAATAAAAATTTTCTCCAGGTCTGTCAATTCCTTCAGAGATTAATGAATTTCTGATGTCAACTTTGGGACAGTGAATATCGATCAAAGTACTTTATTCTGGAAACATTACTTTTTTGGCCAAACACTAAAATTAAAAAATAATGGTGGGAAACCATGGTCATTGCAACTAAAATGCACAACTCATAGTGTTCAACTTTTTTTGTTTTTTTTGTGTGTTTTTTTTTGTTTGTTTTATTGCTTAAATGTGTTCAACTTTTTGAAAGAAGTTGTTCCATTTTATGGTTTTGTTTATCTTTCTAATAAAATGTACTTGACTTATTTTCCATCCTGAAAGAAGATTAATGCACATGAAAATTTAACACAGAAAATTGTATTCCTGGAAACACATTTAAAGAGGACAGGGTATCTTTAGAAAAAAGGAAAAATAGAATTGTTTCAATAAAATTTTAAATACTTTAGAAAACTTAAGAATAATTTATCTTGTCTATCTTATATAACTCATCACATGAAAACACTTCACCCTTTAGTAACCCAGAAACCACAGTATAATGTCATGCAAATCCTGAATAAGTGTTAGCACTATATATACATTTCACACATCCTGCTTATATATTTATGGTCAGAGGGTTCTTACTATGGGATAAACAATAATAAAAGAAATACTCTCTTCCATTAATTAACTTCATTGGATTCACTTTAATCCAAGTACTATTATTCTATAGAAAATAATTAACTAATAAATGTTAGTTTGTATTATATTAAATAATGCTTTCAATATTATTCTTATATTAGTGACAAGTATTCTATTTTATATATTTTAAAATCATATTTTGCCTAAACATATTGAAAAATAAACTCAAAAGTCAAGCATAGTAATATTTTCAAACTCAATCCAGAACTAAAATCAGTTTCTGCCTATGAGGTTATGTAGGATTTGAAAAATAATTCCATAACATTAATATCTAATCAATCCAACAGTATGTAAAGTTAATAATAGCTAATAATAATAAATATTTTATGATCATTGTATAATTGGGATATTCAACTTTAGCAGCCATCAAAAGAGACATTTAATTTGGTCCCATAAAAAAACAATGAACTATGTAATGCATGCCTCGATATCAGCCTTGTATGCAATGTGAAAGGTGGCCAGGTTGCCATTGTATGTAAATATTTCATTGAGGGAAAAATAAAAAATAATTTTTTTTTAAAAAATATACCTTCATTGATTACAGAGAGGAAGGGAGAGGAAGAGAGATATAGAAACATCAATGATGAGAGGGAATCATTGATTGGCTGCCTCCTGCACGTTGGACCGAGCCCACAATCCAGGCATGTGCCCTTGACTGGAATCAAACCTGGGACCCTTAGGTCCACAGACCACTGCTCTATCCACTGAGCCAAACTGGCTAGGGCAAAAAATGACTTTTAAGAGAAGTAAACCAAGTCTATTAGCCAGACTGGGTTTTGACTCTTCTTATTCCTTTAGATGTAAAGTAATTTTCAGAGAATAAACTTAAAAATCCTTTAGACTTGAAATAAATTTTAAAGAATCTATCAAAGAAGATTTTTAATTTCTCTCTCTTTCAATATATAACCATAAAATTGAATATAACAATCCTTGATATGAATAAATAAAATTAAGAGATTTCAAGCAAATTATGGTAATGTTTAAATATACATTTTGAGAGATAATTAAAGAAAATATTTGCTAGTTGGAATGCTACTGAACATTTCATTGTATATTAAAAATATGTTTTCAATGTTGCTTTTACTTTCTGCACAGTATTTCTACTGAATTTGGATGAATACCTAATTTTTATAAGTAGCAAATTAATGAAACAACTTAGTTAGTGAATTGTTCTGCAACTTGTAAGTACATATTTCCTCCTTATTAGTAAAATCGGCAATGCAAGTGAGCTGGCAACATATGAAGTAAGCTGATAATGCTATAACCATGAGAGCATCTATGTTAGAATCTCTGTTACAATGATGATGACTAGAGCCATGAACAGTTGCGGAGTAATCAGCCAATAGATTCTGGAATAAAGAGAAATTCTTTAGCTTTTAAAAATATATTCTAAAGGTGCTATTTCCTCACTGAAAATGTTATTATGTATTCAAAAAAATGTTATTTATGGATCCACTTGCTTTCCACTAGCTGGTGGGACTCAAAATTTGCAAATTCTGCAAGTTACTTAAATGTTCCATATTATATGTGAATGAAAAGATATACTATCAGTTTCCTGACAGATGCACAACAATCTGCTGCAAGTCTAAAATTAGTTTATATTCAATCATTCAGAGGAATTTCTCCTTTTAAATATTCCATTTTAAGAGGAGATACTTTGTCATGGGAAGAAACACAAAGATGAATGGCAAACTCTCTCATTGTATCATACTGATACAGTACAGCACCGAATGTCACATCAAACAGACGATTACATTATTTGTAAGGCTGTATTTAAAGATTTTAATACACTTGTGTTTTGAAATAACTATATTTAGAGAAATGTTATTTCAAACTCTAGCCTATTAGAGCAAGGAAACTAGAGCACTGAATAGTTTTAGGAAATACCAGGGCACTATCCGCCTCAGTCGGCTGTTTTCTTCCAACTAGTCTCTTTTTAAATTCCCTATAAGCAATGACAAAGCGTAAATTAAAGTTTAAAAAAAGGAGGGGAAAAAATCTCCAAACCTACTTTTTCTTCAGTCTTCTATCCTTCTCGGCTTGAGTTCCAAGTTTGCCTAAGCCCAGGGACTCCTGAGCCGCAGCTTCGGTCTCCATGAATCCTCCTGTGAAGAAGGAACTATTCACATTAGGTTAAACATATTGTGTCAATTCTGCAACTAAGTTCTTAAGAATGTATTTGAGCAACTGTTTACTACCACATCCTCCTCAGCCCCCACACACACTTTTTGAGTGTGTTTATATTTCCAAACCAACATGCATAAACATACACTGAGAGAATGAAAAAAAAATAGTACCTACTGTTAGACTATTCAATGGCACCTCAGCAGCATAAAACATGTGGCTTATACACTGATAAACACATGAAGATATAATTTGAAAGTCTCGTCATCTCTTTTTCTACTTTTTCTTTTAATAAAAAATAAAAGCAAATATTTGGAGTATTGAGTTTTTCAACATTTAAAACTTTTAAAAGACTTCTTATATAATGGGGTTAATTGATAGTCCAGTGAGTAGAAACTCAGGTGTATGTCTTCAATTCCAAGGCAAGAGAATGGAGAGGCATTCCCTGTTCTAAAAGTTTTTCATTTCTAGCTTCTGGAATCCTTTTTTTGCTCACCTGCATGATCCCTATACCCAGTATAAACCTTACTTCCAGAGTTTCATATGTTCTGGCAGGTTTTGTTTTGTGAATCTTATAATACCTGGAAAAACTCCTAAGTCTATTTTCAAAAAGACCCTTGAAAGGATTCTTTTTATCCAGTAAATAAAAAAAAATTAGGGTTAGTGGCAATTTTATTGGCTTTGGAGTATATAAAATATATGTAACCTTGGAATGAAAGGAGAAAGGGAAAAAAATATGGAAAGCATCAAGCACAGAATTACACATTTTCCAATATAATTATTTAATTCAGAATCCCTAAAAATGTAATTAATTCATACAGAATTTGTTACAATAAAAATGATAACTTAATCCTGGGCTCTGTTTTCTCTTTGATATTTATTCTCTGTGAAAAATCTAAAAATGCTATGCTAAGCGAAATAAGCCAGTCAGAGAAAGATAAATATCACATGATCTCACTCATATGTGGGATATAATGATCAACAGGCTTTGATGAACAAAAATAGATAAATGGCAGGGGAGGAGGGTAGTTAGAGAGCAAGCAAAGGACTTACATGCATGCATATTAGCATAACGAATGGACACAGACACTAGGGCTGTGGGGGCTTGCCCAGGGTGAGAATGGTTGGGGGCAGTCAATTGGGGAGAAAGGAGACATATGATAAACTTAAGATTTTACATATATATAAATAATGCACATCTTCCCACAGCCGGCCTTGCCCCCATGCCACCACCCAGCCCTGGTTCCCCATTTGCCATTGGTGATCGGTGCCTGACAGTGGGGAGAAGATATCCAGAGGTTGGCTGTTCCTGCCCTCTTGCCAGCCCTGCCCCTGCCAGCTGGGAAAAGGGACCAAGAGGTGGTCAGTGCACCTCATAGTGACTGGTCCAGTGGTCGTTCTGGTGGTTCTGCTGTTAGAGTCAATTTGCATAATACCAATTTGTTATATAGGATAGAGGCCTGGTGCATGGGTGGGGGCCGGCTGGCATGCCCTGAAAGGGGCCTCAGATCGGGGTGGTTGGTCCTCACTGGGGGTTGGGGCCGGCCTGGGCGAGGGCCAGCCTGGGTGAGGGGCCTGGGATGGTTTGCAGGCCACACCCCAAGCTTTGTTAGGAAGGACATCCAGAACATGTCCAGTCTAATTTGAATATTACCCTTTATTAGTATACTAGAGGCCCGGTTCACAAAATTTGTGCATGGGGGGGGATGGTGGTCCCTCAGCCCGGCCTGCACCCTCTCCAATCCGGGACCCCTTGGGGGATGTCCAACTGCCGATTTGGGCTCGATCCCCCATGGCCCTCCCCAGCTGGCCTGATCGCCTCCAACAGCCCTCCTCTGCAGGCCTGGTCACCCCCAATGGCCCTCCCCTGCCAGCCTAGTCACCCCTAACTGCCCTCCTTTGCAGGCCTGGTCCCGAGTCTAAATCATATATATGTATGTGTGTGTTTATATATGTATATATATGTGTATATATATGTGTATATATATCTATATAGATAGATATAGATATATATATATGGGATTTAACTCCAATTAAGCTCAATATTAGGTACAAAGATTTAAGTTAATATTAACTCTTACAAAGACTACACAAAAATGTTACCAATATGTCAGTAAATAAGAACTATTAGAGACAAATTTATTCCCTGTCATTGTAATGAACATTTCCTTACTTAACATTTGCAGGTCTTAACCAGAGACAAATTTTGTTGTTGCTGTTTTTTATAATTTATTTTAGCGAATAACTTATAATGATTGATACTATTAATTTTGGAACACTGATATAACAAGTTACTCTCATAGCCTAGTAACTCTGCTACTGAATGCTATAAGAAACTTCTATTTGGCTGAAAACACATTTATTGCTATCTAGATCTTATGCAGAGCTTCACAGTTTGGGGACCAAAATTTATTTTATTCAAATATGAACATGTGCAGTTAATACTTAAATACATTTTTATTATGAGAGATTTTCATTTTTTGGTGTCATTGAAGTTGTCCCAAACCTAACTAAGGTAGTCTTGGGGATCATCTTGAATCATGGGATTTTTCCGTTATGCACAGTGAATTTTCATTTTATTTCTCTCATTGGTATACTTGCCTTACTGTACACCCATAAATTATTATTCACAATCTGCAGTTAGCAATAAAATTCTACTCTTTAAATGTAAATTATTAATTCATTTTTAAAGTTACAAAATTTTCCCAGTACAGATGGGGACATAGAGATTGATGAGGTAGACCCATTCAAAACAGGGAGACATTTCCAGCCACCAGGTGGTTGGATCAATTAGGCTTCTTATTCTTCATAACAAAGAATAACAGTTAAATTCTGATGTTAACTTTATTAAAAACCTTAGATTTCAATGATAGAAAAAGAATATTTTTAACAATGAAAACTCTGGAAGAGAAACAAAGAAAGATCTAAAATGATTTTGAGAGTCAAACTAGATCTAGAAAAAATAGGCTGTAAATTTTGATTTTCATAATTAAAATTATAAAAATAAAAAGCATGAGGAGTTTGGAAATACACTGAGTACTTCAAAACCTAAGGTCCTTTGAATAGAGTCTTGTGGACACATCCGGTTTAAAAATGCCTGTAGAAAATGACAATTTAATATAGTAGATAAATTTATTTTTATGCATCACATGTAGAAAGGTACCCTTAAGCAGGATCAAAAGGGTAAACACCCACATTTTCAGCCCAGTTAAACTATTGGTAGGTGAGAAGAACATTCTTTCATAGACTTGACCCAGCTGTCCCATAAGTCCCAGGTACATCTTGTTACATACCGGATCAGCTACCTAACTGGTAAAGGTAAGTCAGTCTCATTTTGTCCCAGGCATCAGCAGGCTCCTATGGCAGTGTGAATATCTATTCGGGAATATCTATTCCTCTAATACCACTTTTATTCATTAGTCACATGTGGCTATTGAGCACTTGAATTGTGGCTATTCCAAACTAAATACTTTATTATAAATATGCATAAGATTTTGAAAACTTAGTACAAATTTATATACAATATCTAATTAATAATGTTATCTTGATTACAGTTAAAATAACATTTTCTTACAGTGGTTTAAATAAAATGTATTACTAAGATTCATCTCACCCGTCTCTTTTCACTTTTCTTATTGTTGCTACTAAAAAATTAAAAATTACATATGTGACTCACATTTGCGATTTGCATTATCTATCTGTTGGCTCTTGACTGGAGATAAGTGTCAGTCCTCCAGAGAGTAAGTTTAAATATTCACTTATGTTGGTGGAAAGAGGGGGCTACATGTTTAGATGTCACCATGATTGCAAAGTGCAGCTGATTTTCATTAAGTAGGGGACAAAGATTCTAAACATCAATGAGTAAAGAATACTTTAGCTTGCCCTTCTAAAAATGACAAGAGTGCCCCTGATGAGAAACACTGGCTTGTAGGTGACTTTTTCCTCTAGAAAATCCATTAGGAATGTGGAGAGAACATTAACTCCACCCATCTCATGACATAGGGTATTTAGTTGTAGAAGGCTTGAATCTTGTGATTCAGTGGATACTCAGATAACAAAGTGTGTATCACCTTGTCTGTGGTTTAGTAGTTGCACATACAAAAGCCCAAGTCAAAATCCTTGAAGTTTTCTGGGCTATTTTTCACTCAGGTATACTTTCGCAAGGCCCTTGAGGACTTGGAATTGTTAGAAAATTGTCTTGGAATTGTCCTAGAGTGTGAGGGGCTCAATTCAATTTTTTTTCCAGCCCATTCTCTATATAAACACTTTGAGTAACCCCAATCAGTGCAGCAACAATTTAGTGGTTCAATCTTACATAATATCATTCAGGCCAGCAGAAGTGAATGTTTCACTTGCGAGGGCACCCTCCTGGAACCAGGGGAGGTATTGGTCCAGAACAATTGCATAGTGCAAAAGTCTCTGGGCTCAGCAGGACATCTTGTCAACCCCAGGCATGGGGTAGAGAAGTAGAGAGCACCCTGATGGGGGGAAACAGGGACCCTGGTCCACATGGTTTAGTTTTATTAGATGATACTGGTCCTAAGGTCTGAGACACAATGGAAACTTGCAATGCTCCCAGCAATTGGATCCACTCAGGTCTAGATTTTCACTGAAGGTTCCCTGCCCAGCGAGCAATCCCAGTCCAGCCTCTCCTAGGCACCAGAGGGAAGATCTTAGAGAATTTCAACAAAGGTGTTACAAAGTGTGAGGCTGCCTAAGCCCCAGGCTGAGGAATTCAAGGAAAGACCCTCCTATGCCCAGATCTATGAGTAATACTAGATGGAGATATTTGTTCATTTGGATGGTAAAGGAAAATATCTCTATGTTTCCTGGGCCTTAGACTCCATTCAAAATAATTTATTTCATCATGGCCCTTGAGGTAAAAGTCCGAAGAAATCTCTGGCCCAATTTTGCAATTTAAGGTTTCTGCCTCTCCATTTTTTTTCCAGCAGAAGTACCTGTATTAAAAGCGGGGGGAGAGCTCTAACTACAGACATTAAGACTATAAACTGCTGCTGATCAGTTGCTTCATCTTTCTTTTATTGGACCTCTCTTTATTAGTTTGTATTTACACTTGAATTGATAAATGGTTACTTAATTGTTGCCATGTCTATTAGCTCTCTGGAGGAGGCATAAAGGCAGTGCCAGGCTCATAGAGAATGTGTAAAAAATGTTCACAGTTGAAGCTAAATACTGATTTCTTCAAAAAAAAAAAAAAAGGCCCTTTCACCATGCAGAGAATGCGTCATCTCTAACTGGTACTTTGTGAAGTTTACATTGTATCTGTTGGTTCCACAGCATCTAGGAATAATCTATTTTTTATTTATTTTTTGGAAAAGGTGAGCACAGCCACCCAAATTTTATGTGTAGAAAGGTGCTTGCTAAATAATGCTGGCACAATCTTGAGTCTGTTTTTGTCATGATGACATCATTTTCTTTATTATGCTGATTTTAGCAGGTCAATGAGTTCAGACAATTCTAATACAATCTGGCAGATGGCTATAAATGAAAGGGATATGCAATTTAGTAGGCAAAATCCCTCTGAAATGTATTACTTTTCATATGCATTTAAAGGACATTTGTAAAAGTAGTTTAATAAAATCAATAATATATCCATTTTATATGCCTTTAATTGGGGATTCTTCCTGTTCAAAATTAATATATTTTCCTCTTTTATTTTCAAACTAGAGGCCTGGTGCACAAAATTCATGCACAGGAGGGGAGTCCCTCAGCCCAGCCTGCACCCTCTCTAACCCGGGACCCCACGGGGGATGTCTGACTGCAGGCTTAGGCCCAATCCCTGGATCCGGCCTAAACCGGTAGTTGGACATGCCTCTCGCAATCTGGGACTGCTGGCTCCTAACTACTTACCTGCCTGCCTGCCTGATCACCTCTAACCACCTCTGACTGCCTTATCACCCCTAACCACCCCTGTCTGCCTGCCTGATCACCCCTTACTGCTTCCCTGCCTGCCTGATCACCCCTAACCACCTCTGCCTTGGCCCCACACCTGGGACCCAGGATTCCCTCCTTTAGCTGGCCCCAGGCACCTGGGACCCTGGCCAGCTTCACCTGGACCAGCTGCATACGCAGGGGACCATGGGTGGGCGGCTTCTTCCTCTCCCCAGCCACAGCAGCAGCCACTGGCACCCCAGAGACTGCTGGCAGGTGGCTTTGCCTGGGCTTGGATTTGTCAGGAAGGACATCCAGATAATTGTCCGGAAGACATATTAGCATATTACTAATTAGCATATTACCCTTTTATTAGTGTAGATTATAAAAGAAAGTTTATTTAGAAAATTACAGAGATCTTAGAAGTGAGCCAGCAGGCTCAGGAATCAAGTTACAGAAGCCAAAGAAAGGCCCCTGGAGCATAGGAGAGACAAAGGCAAAGGCAAGGAGCCTGGGGGAGGGAGAGAGGGAAGGGAAGGCACGGTCGTGCTCCCCTGAGGGACAGTGTTCTTTTCACTCATTTTTCTCAGCTTTGCTACATTGGGTTCTACTTATCCAATTCTCCATTCTTGAAGATCTTTTTGTTCTTGATTATGGTTCCTTCTCTTGCAAAGTCTGTCAATGGCCTCTTGTCTTTATCCTCACTGTTCACTGTTAACATCAGCTAGGCTGGTCATGTGTGTGCGGGTCTTTTTTTCTTTGTAGTCATTATTATTAGTGCTCTCTGCAGACCTGGGAGAATGTGTTTCCCAGGTAGTAAAACAATGAATGTTAAGATCCTATGGAGCAGATGATTCCCCCAGAAGCAATAAATGCTTTAACACTCTACCTTGTCTTCACATGATATCACCATTTTCATAAGCTTTAGGTTAACTGCCTCTTAGCAAGGCACTTGATTGCTCTAACCCCTAGCCTCTGCTTGGATACTTGACCCTGGAATTTAGATCATTTAATCTGTGTGCGTGGCTCTGCTTCAAGTAGTTGCCTTTTGAGCTCTGCATTTCCAATCTCTCCGCGGTTAAGTAACTTTATCTTTAGCCCAAACATTTCCTTTGCTGATAATTTGGCTTCCCATTCCTGACCCCAACCAATAACCCACTTCCTGACTAGTTCTTTTCTAGCACACTCCCCTTAGAGTTTTTTTCTTCCATGTCACTTCAGTACCCTTTCTCAGGCATCAGTTCTATTTGAAACTCTAGCCGTACCCCTTTTCAATTCTGTAGAAAAATTTCACTCAGATTTTCCTAGTAGAATCAAATGTATCTAGGGAGAGAAGATTAATAATCTGAACTGCTTTCTTGCATTATGTCTGTATCTTTAATAAAAAAAAAATTATACTGTATTCTATGATGTCTTTCTTACTGTTTCCTTGAATTACTTTTTAATTTTTACGCACTTATGTGCAATATCCTCAAAAAGTTATAAACTTTATGAAATAGTCATGTTTTTAATTTCATTAAGTTGCCAAACTTGTTCCAGGGGCCTAGGAGCTCAATGAGGTATTTTTTATTAAAACAGTTCCAAGAGTATATTGTCTGGAGCACTAGACCAGGTAGTGAGAGCTGGGAACAAATACCCTTAACCATTATTAAACTCGTCTGTTTTTACATACTATAGAATGTGGACCGCTACATGATCTTAGATATTGTCTAACTCTGAAGTCGATAATTTTAAAAATACACATGCATTTTATAGTAAACAATTGATAGTATATGTTTTGTAAAAAAAAAAAAAAAAAGGTTGTTTGGCATCGGCTTAAATGTTAGAGTGTCATAGACTCAGTATTACTAGATTTGAAGTAGATTTTAGAAGTCATCCAGTCCAACTATCTTTCCAATGCTTGGATCCCCTTGACAACATTTTCCTAGTATTTACCCAGCTTTGGCTTTATACTTTACCTAGTTTTCAGTAACAAAGAAGGCCTTACCTCAAAAGCCAGCTCTTTGGATATAATTTTTACACTTCTTTCTTACATTGAGATGAAGATAATCTTTGATTAACACTTTAGTTCTAGTTTTGTACCCTCATTTAACAATTAAAACGCCAACAGCTCTTCCACATAAGAGCTCTTCAAATATTTGCAATCAGCCATACCTTTGGGCCAGCAAGAAGAATAAACACACCTATCTATGTGTCTATTTCTCACATGAGTTCAATCCTGTACATGAGCTTAAATACTCCCCCCTAACCTTCCTCTAAGGCAGTGGTCGGCAAACCGCGGCTCGCGAGCCACATGCGGCTCTTTGGGCTCTTGAGTGTGGCTCTTCCACAAAATACCACATGTGGGC